AGTCCATGCAGAAATAGAAGTACAATGATGTACACCTGAAATTTTTGCAATGTTATAAACCAATGTTACTGCAATAAACAAAAAATTAAAAAAAACACAAAACAAACAAAAAAAAAACATTATGACACTGGCATAAAAATAGACACATAGGCCCATGGAACAGCATAGGAGCCCAGAAATAATACGGTCACATATATGGTCAATAAATATTTGATAAGGGAGCCAAGAACATCAAATGGGAAAAGGATAGTCTCTTCAACAAATGGTTTGGGGTAAACTGGATAATTATATGCAGAAAAATGAAATTGGACCCATATCTTACACGACTCACAGAATTTAACTCGAAATGGATTAAAGACTTAAATATAAGACCTGAAATCATAAAACTCCTGGAAGAAAACATAGGGGAAAAGCTTCTTGATTTGGTCTTGGCAATGAATTTTTGGATATGACACCTAAAGCACAAGCAGCAAAATCAAAAATAAACTACATCAAACCACAAAGCTGCTGCACAGTAAAAGAAACAGTCAGCAAAGTGGAAAGTCAACCTATGGAATGGAAGAAAATATTTGCACATCATATACCTCATAAGTGGTTAATATCCAAAATATAAAGAGCTCATATAACTCAATGGCAAGAAAAAATATATTTCTATATACTCACAATATTATGATGGAAAATAAAAATACCATTAAAATCTTTAAAACATTAAATACATAGGGATAAATTTAACAAATAATGTGCAAAATTTCAATATTGAAAACTACAACATTGCTGAAAGGCATTAAAGGAGATCTAAATAAATAGAATTTATTTCTTGAATTGAAAAGCTTGATATAATAGATGTCAATTCTACTCAAATTGAACTATAGTTTCAATACAATACCAATTAAAATCCCAGCAGACTTCTTTTGGTAGAAACAGATCAGCTGGTTCTGCAATGTATGTGGAAATGCAAAAGATCTGATGAGCCAAAACAATCTTGTAAAAAAAAAATGTTGGAGGAGTTGCACTAAACGATTTCAACAATAACTAGAAAGCCACAAAAACTCAGAGATTGTAGTGGAGGCACGAAGACATGTAAATAGATCGATTGAACTGAGTAGAGTTTCCAGAAATAGATCCATATTTATATAATCAATTGATTTTCAACATAGGTGCCAAAACAATTCAGTGGAGGAAAATGGTGCTGGAACAGTCAATAACCAAGTGAAAAATACAAGGATGGTTGACATCTATCTCATATACTATTCTAAAATTAATTTTAAATAAATTACAGCCCTAAATCTAAGGGCTAATACTGTCAATCTTCTAGATGAAGATGTGGGATATAACTTCACTATATTGAATAGGCAAAAAATCATTTATCTTAAAGGAAAAATCAATATATTAGGCATCATCAAAATTAGAAACTTCTCATCAAAGTCACTGTTAGGAAACTGACCAGCTAACCACAGACTGGGAAAAAATATTCTGCAAAATGTGTATCTGACAAAGAAATATATATAACTCAATAATAGAAGACAATCCAATAAAAAAGTCAAAATGTGAAAAGATTCTTTTAAGGAAGTAATAAATGCAGGAAAAAGTATTCAGCATCATTAGACATTAGGAAAATATAGATTAAATCATAATGAGGTAACACTATCTCATAAATGAACTACCCCATTAAAATGACTAAAATTAAAACAACAACAACAAAAAGGGTGACTATTAGCTGTTGATGAAGATGTGGAGAGTTGCAATTCCCATTCTTTGTGGGTAGAAGTATAAAGTGATACAACTACTTTAAAAAATGATTTTGCAGTTTCAAATAAAGTTAAACACATATATAAACATATTTTATATATATATATGAATTATATATATACCCAATAACCTTATGTGCCTTGACATTTGCGCAAGAAATAAAAACCTGTGTCCACCAAAGAATTTTTAAAAATATCTTTAGAGAAACTTTATTCACAATAGCTAAAAACTGGAAACTATCCAAATGTATATTAGCAAGGAATGGATGAACAAAATGAGGCCTATCTATACAATGGAATTCTACTCAGCAATTTAAAAAGAAAGAGAATACTGATATACTCAGCAATATGAGTGGAACTCAAAAACATGTGGTGTGAAAGAAACCCCACACAAAAGAGTACATAATACATGATTTCAGTAATCTGAATTGCTAAAACAGGCAGAACTAATCCATGGGGAAAGAGTTCAGAAGAGTGGTTGCCTTTTTGGAACTTCTGGGAATGGCTGTGAGGAAACGGGTGAGGAAATGGAAAGGTCTTATATTTGATAGAATGTTAATAAATTTGTGAAAAATCATCACATACACTTAAGATCTGTACGTTTCACTATATGCAGATTATACTTCAATGTTTTTAAAACATAGTTTTTAAATGGCCTATAAAAGAAGTATGGAGGAAAAAATTTCTCTTTGATTGGAATCACATGGAAATGGACAGATGAGTCAGCCATTTACTTATTGGGTTTGACTGATACTCTTCACATTTAGTTTGTATTGTTAGAAAATTTATTTCCATCATCCTCTTTCATCTGGCCAGCTTATAAACTGACTAGGATTTCACCATTTATTTGTTAAAGTGTTCTGGGTGGTTTCTTATTGAGCTGATTATTCTGATGTCTAAAAATTGGCATATGTATGTTCTAGTTAGAGAAAGCCTGTGATCTTCTCTTTATAACGATAATCTGTATAGGTAACTGCATTGATATATTAAAATGCTTCAATAGAAAATAGATATAGGAACTCTATCATATTCTTGATTTGATACCTTATTGATATTCTACCATATTTCTATTCCATTTATGAAGTTAAAAAGATTTTACTTTCTGTTAAAATTGAAGTAACAAGACAAATAATTGCGTGTGAAATTTTGGACTCTCATGGATTCTAACAAAACTTAGTGATACTAATGAGCAGTAGCATCAATATGTTTTTTGTGTCTGTGTTGTATAGACATCAAGGATGGTCACTGCTGAGGTGTGAACTGAAAATCAAGGAATGATTTAGTTAGATGTTTCCCTGATGTCTACATATAGAGAAAATTTATTTAAAAAAAAAAGATCCAGAAAAGAGAAAGTGGTCAATTATAATGTAATAATAATATGGCTTTAAAAAGGAAAACTGGTTTCTTCATTTGATACTTTTACTATAGAATCATTTTTTTCCAGAAAACTACAAGATATTCCAAAAATTACTACATGTAAAGTTATTACTAAAACTATTACTTTTAGTTTTTAGCCTAATTTTAGACTAAAATTTATTTTATCTGCATACATTTAACTGGAGATTAAATTAGTCTAATTTTGCTTTCTGAAATATAATTTTCGTCCTATCCTTTGCAAGATTAAAGAAATATAAAATTTTGTCATTTCAAATTTTTAATTCTTTCTCCCAAAGGAAAAAAAATAACTATGATGAAGAGTAATTGAATGTTGACAGAATGTTCACCTTTTAATTTTATTCATGGCTGTTTGCCCAGTTCTTTTGAAGGACCTAATATTTTTGTTCCTGACAATGCTTAGAGGTGAAAAGAGACAATGTCTAGTTGTTCAGAACAGTTTGAATGAGGTAATCAAACAGAGCTGGAAAATGATCTTCTATCCCTGGTGACGTACTACGGGGAATTCTGAGGGAGTTCACTGAAGAAAAGACTTTGTAATTAAATTATCATTTAATCCCAATTCTCTACTTATTCATTCAGTTTAAATCAATAATGACAATGGGCTCTCTCGTGGTGGTATTTCACCAGCAAAGACAGAAAAAAAATGCTTGAAGGATAACAATGTAAAAAAAGTTAAATTGATGCATGCTCATTTTGGTCTTTAGATGCTTCATGGAGCTAATTGTTTTGTTTCAGAAATACGAGATGACATCAGATACATGGCTCTCTAAACAGGTATAGTATATGTGGTCTCTTTATGTCACATTTTGGCCATTGTGCCCAACAAATTCACCCATTTGTTATGTATAACTTTCTCTCAAAAGCTATTTCAGTAATATGACTTTAAGGCTTTGGTATGTTTGACTAAGTGAGTCTTTTCCGTTAAAGTATTTATGACTTGGGCTTTTTGTGACAACATTGGTGAAAAGATTACTTTTGGTTTTAATAGGACATAAGTTGCAAAATAACCACCAGGATCCATTTTCAGGATCATTCATATAAGTAAACTCGTGTGTAGATGCAAGAGAAAAATTTGTGACCTGTAAAACTAGAAACCATCAGCATTGCTCAAATTGCCCAGAAAATTGACCAAACCTCCACGTAAATTGATTATGTGGAGATTATTCAGATGAACACTTCTTTCTTTAGATATATCCTAGCTCTTCATGTTAGTTTGTGACATAAACGTTGCTGGAATACAGGCGATCACAATAGAATAACTACCAAACATCTCCACAACATGGTCTCATACTGGACATTTTAGGACGCACAAGTGGATTATCCAAATACAGCTGAACCCATTTTATTACTAACTCATCATTACTTTTCACAATGGGAAGTGTTTTGTTTGGTTTGTTTGGTTGTGATTTGTTCTGTTCTTTGCAGTTATCCTTTATTTTATATTCTCTGCCTAGGTGTCGTGCGCCTCCGGGGTTTCAATTACCACTCATGTATTGAGACCTCCAAATGTATAGCCCAGGCAACCCACTTCTCTGAGTTCTGAAACATCCAAATTCATGCTTGGCATCTCCTCCTAAATTTTTAAAAGTAACTGCACGGTCCACAGGTCCAAACTGAACATATCCCTCTTCTAGTTAGTTTTATATCTTCTTATCATAGGAGTCAAGGCCATACTTATCCATCCAGCTATTAAAATCATAAATCTAGTGGTCATTCTTGAACTTTTTCTCATCTTTATCTGCATATATTATTCATCACCAAGTTCTTTGATTTTACTTTCAAAGATCTCAAGTCAATTTACTTTTCTCCAGTTCACAAACGCCGCACAGGATCAAACTACAGGGGCTGCAGTTCCTCCTCATCTGGTGAACTCTTAACGCCTTAGGCACCGGCCAGTCTGCTCGTTCTCCACACTGCAGGCTGGCTGAGTGACCTTTTCGAGATATGTATTTGATTGTCACTACCCACATCACCCTCACACTCCACTCTTATGACTAGAACAATTTTTATCTATCCTTTTGTTCTACAGATAGGGACCAACATTCTTTAAGGGTCTACAAGGAATTAAATTGAAAGCTTTTCCAGCTGTGTGCCATACCATCCTTTCACCAGTTTTCTCCATTCTAGGCACATTAGCACTCATATTCACAGGGCCTTTGTATGAACTGTTCCTCCTGAACAGAATTCTCTCAACTACTTTCTTAGGTGAAGCTTGCTCATTTTTCAAACCTCAGCTTAAATCACCTACTGAAGAAGTCAATTCCTCCAACCACTCTAACCAAATCACATCCTCAAATAAAAGTTATTTTAAAATCAAGTGGAATCTTTGAGTAACATTTATACAATTATTTCTGTGTTTTTTTACTAATTTACAAAGGCAGGAAGTATATTTATTTTTCTGTTCTCCATTGTAAACCAAATGCCTAATATAGAGTCTGGTTATAAGAAAAGCTCCATAAATACTTGTTGAATAAATAAAGAAAAAGAGTAAGAAGGATGGTGAATAGGCTAAACCTTTGCTTGTTTGAAGTATAGGCATATCTATGTATCTATGTATCTATCTATCTATCAATACATTTTAATATGAACTATTTAATCTTAGTCAATGTGCAAGATGAATTTGGGAAAAAAACCCTTGATTTCATAGCCAATAATGGATTCTCAAAAATTAGGTTACATATGAAAATGAAAACAATGAAAAACAACAGCGTAATAGATATTGATGTATTCTGAATTGTCCTGCATGTGTAAACCTATTTTGCTATCATTTTTGTTGCCAGTGACATTCATAATAGTCTAACATATATCAACATAATGCATGCTCTTTTATGATTATGCTCTCTATATTTTAAATCCCAACTTTATGAATGTTTAATAGAATTTTTTTAAGCAAAGAAACCAGTTATCAATTATTCAGTAAGAAAATGCAGATGGTGGTTTGTCACAGTTGACTTTTTCGCCAGCAGCTCTAAGAGAATTTCATGAAATACTCAGAATTTGATAAAAGTTGAAGGATGAGAGTGGTAGTAGTAATGAGTTGAAGCAAATTTCTGATAATTAGAAATTTAATATAATCATCATATGCTCACTTTCTGGATAATAGGAAGAAAAGAGAGAAGGATAACCATGTACAAAATGTTTGGTCAAGGGCTAAACTTCGGTAGCCCCAATTCATGGCCCTGTGTGTCACAAACACTGACGTGCTTAAGGTCATGAAAGTGGGCAGTGAGATTGGCCCACCTTCTGTGATTGTAGGAAAGCGTCTGATTAGAGCTGCATGTTCATAGCCAGTTATGGTCTAGTGGTGAACGTTTTTAAGCCCTGCTATGCATTTGAGATTATATTCCCCCCATCTGCCCCTTAAATGAACCATTTCTAAGGTACCAGAATTGGAGGAGGGGAAACTAATATAAAAATTAGAATGCTCCGATGTCCTCACACCACAGAAAAGCAATTTATTTTTAGAGCAAAGCACAGGGGAGAATGTTGAGTAAAGGAGGAGCTAATAGCTAGAGTGAATGTGGTGGCTAAATTGATACATATAACAACTATTTTTGCCAATTGTACATATGCATTCATCTATTCAATTATGAGTAGGACACCTACTGTGTCCTAGAAAATAGAGCTGAAAAGATAAAATTGCAAACAGTTTAATTATTCCTTGCCTACTGAAGGAAGTCGACCATATAATAGAGTGCATTGAAAGCCGTGATAGAGATAAATACAGCGTACTTTTTAGAATCTCTGAGGAGAGATTTCCTAACTAGGAGAGATTCTTCTAACTAGGGAAATTTGGAAATGTTTTTTACTTAAACAATTAAAAAAGTTGATAGGATTTGGCACAAACAGGAAAACAGAAAGATTGGTCCAGACAGAAGAAACCCCATGAGAAGGTCAAATACCGTATGATTTCCTTCATTAAGTAGTAGATAGTGACAACAATGGACGGATACATAGGGACAGAGATTGGATTGGTGGTTGCCAGAGGGGGGGGGGGAGGGAGGAGGATGAAAGGGATAATTCGGTGCATGTGTGTGGTGATGGGTTGTAATTAGTATTTTGGTGGTGAACATGATGTGGTCCATGCAGAAATAGAAGTACAATGATGTACACCTGAAATTTTTACAATGTTATAAACCAATGTTACTGCAATAAACAAAAAATTAAAAAAAAAAATAAAATAAATAAATAAAATGCTTCTGAAAAAAAAAAAAAAGAAGAAACCCCATGTGCAAAAGTAAAGAAAGAGATATCCCAGAGGGGCAAGAAATGGAACATAGAGAATTATTGACTCTATCATAGGTGAAAGATGTGATTCCTTCAGTCAAGAATCTTGTCAGTATTTATTATATGCCCAGTAATGCAATTTTCCCATCCTTGAATTGTGTTACTTTAGAGTTTTAAATTTATTACATATGTCATTTTATATTTTCATGAGTGTCCATGAAGTAGACAAGGAAAATATTATCCTTATATTTCTGTCAAAGGACATTCTCACTAATGAAGCTAGTATCAAATGTGAGATTATTAAAATAGTTATTAATTTACTTATTCATTCAGTAAATAATTATTAAACACAATTGATGTGACAGGCACTGTCCAGGTGTTGGAGATACAGCCATGAAGAATACAAGATTCCTGCCTCCTGGAGCTTACATTCTAGAGGAACACTACCTACGTACCTATCTACCTACCTACCTACATACATATATACATGCATTCATTCATATACAAACAAATGTATACTTACATAAGAAATAGTATGTTGGATAGTGTTAGTTGCTATGGAAAAAAATAGAAAGTAAGTAAAAGAGGATGAGGGATTCAGATAGAGTTGGATGATCTGGCTTCTCTGATCACCCTTTACATGGGGCAATCAGGTAAGACCTCACTGATAAGGTGACATAGAGCAGAGATATGAAAGAGATAAACGAAAGAGCCAGACAGAGGGAATAAAAAGTGCACAGGCCCTGGAGCAGAAACATGTGCAATGAGGAAGCAGGAGAAAGGAAGACGATGATATCAGAAAGAGAGTGGAGGGCCAGATCATCTAAAAAGACTTGTAAGCCATTTAAAGACCTATAGAGCAAACCGTATCAAAGCCTTTCTTTATACCATATGTGTAATCACTATCACTAATCCAATAGGAAAAACCTCAATGTTTTGTTAGGTAAATCCATTTTCTTAATGTTTCCCCTGGAGCAAGAGAAAGCAAGCTATATGTGTGGCTTCCATATAATTTTCAAAAATAATCCTGTTGATTTAATATACCACTAGAGTTTAATTTAGAAAATCATCAAATGGACATTTGTGTTTGTGTGTTTGTGGAGGGGTGAGCAGTGAGGATGGGAAGTTTTAATTAAATGATTTTCAATGGATTCCTTACAATTTTGTGGCCTTTTGGCTTTTGTATGTTCAGTAAATTTATGTATACGTCATCAGAAATGTATCTTCAAGTAACTAGAATTGCTGAGTGCAATATTTCAGAAAAATATATTAAATATTGTGTGTTATAAAATTTTCTAAATTTGAAAAAAATTTCTGTTGATAAACTGGTACAGATGTTCACAGTTTTCCTATCTTTGAAGGCTAAATTGCTAAACACAATCATATCTTCTGTAAAGATAACGAAAGTTCTTTTTTGAACCAATTTAAAAAGTGTCTTTAGTCTAATTGTGAGTTGTTCCTATCCAGTCTTTAAGAAACTTCCCCATCCCTCCCACCACTCAAACACACACATACATGCAATGCAGCACTGAATTTACTTTAAAAAAATACTATCATACATTTATTTTTTAAATAATTTGACTATTTTCCAAACAAATTCTAAATCAATAGTTAATCCAATCCATGCATGAATTAGCAGTAGTTTACAGCACAAATTTCACATGCCATTTTGAGATTGTTATATGCACTTCTGTATTTTAGAATGAGGAGCCTGTATTTTCTAGAGATGGCAGCAAATTCTTTATGACAGTTCCTGTTAAGCAAGGGGGCCGTGGAGAATTTCACCACATAGCTATGTTTCTTGTCCAGGTAAGTACTGGCTTCTTCCTGTGATTTGGTTTCATTGCCATCGTGCTCATGAAGGTTCAGTCTTGTGCATTCTGAACCTACAGTTAATGCCGGTGAAGTCCAGTCATGTATCCAACTCAGGGACATTTTAGGAAGAGGATCTCTATCCATAGCCGTAAATTCAAGGTGTACCTTCCCACAAAACAGTCTCAACACTTAATAAAATTTAGTGAGCCTCACATGTGTGCTATGAGTTGAAGGCCTTGGGATATAGAATTTAATAAATGAAAAGTACCTGACCCCTACTTTCAAGGACATGAGGGCAATATAGAGAAGGTTTTTCATTCAACAAATACGTATTACCTATTTCGTACAAGTAATATTTTTGAGGTGTTATAAAAGTTTTAAATGCTTGAAGCAACCTAAATGTCCATCAAAAACTGAATAGTTGAATAAAGCATGATATACCGACACAAGGAAATACAATGCAGATTTTAAAAACCAAGATAAAATAGATTTTTTTGTGTGTTTTCAAAGACACAGTGTCTGTATTATATTTTTATGGACTTGCTGATAAAAATAGGGGAAAAGGTTATTATTTCTCTAAACTTCAGATTATGTTAGCAGTTTATACAGTTTGTCTCATTATAAAAAATCAGTAACTTCACAATAAGTAGTTTAAATTTGACAAGGTTAATGAGTTAATTTGAATCTAATTGCCAATAACAAGTATTCATGAGAAATGAAGTTTTATTCAAAATCAAATAAGTAAACATCTTAGTCTCACAGGTAGGAGACCATTTATAAAGACAAAGCATTGTGAATAAATTAGAATCTTCTATGCGAGTTTTACAAACAAACTAGTCAAGAATCAATTTCATTACAAAATATAGAGTAAATATGAATTGGCAAAATGTCCCAAAGCAGCCTGGCTACTTTTTATGTTCTGAGAACTTTCAAGTCTTGCGCATATTCTCAAACTTGTATCATTATCTATATACTTATTTATATTGGGCAGCTCAGTGCCTTGAATTCTCAAAATCTTATATCAATAGCTTAAAATTTAACATTTGTCCAAGTTCTGTACTATTAAAATAATTGTCATGATTATAACTTTAATTTTAATCAAAGCTAAAATAAATTATTTGGAACATATATAATTTCCACAATAGAGATGTAGCTTAATTCTCATAGTATATCATTAAGTTGGAACAGCAGGTTATAGACCAATGTATAGCATGATCTCATTTATGTTATAAATAGATTTATGCATTTCTATATGGATAAAATTTTTTTGTAATTCGATATCCAACTATTAAAATTATTATATCAGACAGGGGGGATTGAGGGAATTTTTTTTTTTTTAATCTGAACTGGAGGAAACTTCACCAGCAAATTGCTTTTCTGATTAACTTTTGCTAGTTAATAGTAAACTTTGTTATCATAAATACTAGGGAGATACGTTGGCCAAAAAAATAAACCACACTTTCCAAATCTTACAATTGACTGTGACATTCTACTGAATTTTTGAATCCCACTATTTTATATTCAGGAAGCTGTGTAAAAACCCAGGTCGTCAAAATTACATACAAATTGTGAATATTTATAAGATAGTGAAGGATAGGGAAGGATGTAGAGTACATCTTTATATATACAATTCCAAGAGTAAGACAATGTAGTCAACAATTAAATGTGTCTTTCAAAGTGGGATTGGCCCGGGCGGAGCGAGGAGGTGATGATGTTGGCATGTAGGAATTGAGATATTTATGCACCTAACAAAAGTTTCCTTATAAGTCTTGGGAAGAAAAACCTTCTGTCCCTCAATGAAATCAGCTCTTGACATGCAGTAGTTCATTACTTCTGAAATGTTCGGAAGAACAACTTTGTAGAGCAGATGTGTTTACTTTGTTCCTCTTCTATATGGAGACTAACAAAGCTTTCATTGAAGTAGAAAACATTTTGATCTTTTCTGGTTGCAGTTCAGAGAACTTGTGAGAAATAAACATGACTGATTATTTATGGATATTTTGGCAATGTGGCTAAAATTAATTTACCTTGTTAATGAGTCAGAGGGCAGTGCTTAGATAAATACAATTTATACCTAAGTTTACACACACCCACGACTTTAGTAAATAGTTTCAGTCCCCTTGCCTCAATTTTTTAACAGCTAACAAAAAAGCTCTTTTATGAATTGTTTATAATTGCCATACTGACATATATATACTATAAAAATTTGTAAAATTCTAAACTGAATAAAGGAGTATATAAAATCAAACACAATCTCATCACCCCACACTCTCACACTATAAATATATTACTGTATATATTTCCAATTCCTTTTTATGTTAAAAATATGTCATTTTCTCAAAGATTGCCATCAAAGCACATACATAGATCTGTAACATTTAAAGAATAATTAATGAGCATTTTCTCACATAATTTAACTGCATTCTTAATATTTAATATTATGTTAAAATTTGATTTTAATAGCTGTTCAACATTCTGTTCAGGTAGATATACTATACTGTAGTTAAGTGAATCAGTTTTCATCAATCATTAAAGTTATTTCTATTTTTTGATACTAGAAATTGTTCACAGATAAACACCCCATGCATACTTATTTTATTTATGATTATTATCACTAAAATATATTTCTAGATCTCAAAAGATACCTAGAAATCTTTGCAAAGCATACGTGTAAGTATGTATTTGTTTAGATTTTGATATGGAGTGCCAAATTGGCTTTCCAAAAATAGTATAATAATTTACAGTCTAAACAGTAATGCATTCCAACATTGATGACTTTTTACCCTCTCTTTCTTCCCTTGACATGCTAGAGGATTCCATTTAAAATTGGCGTGCCTGGAAAGTGAGAAATGACAGGCAGAGAGAGCTTGGCAGGCGACAGTCAGGAAGACCACCTTTGCTGTACTTGATGCTTAGCTACTTGAGAACTTCCCCATTGACTGAGAATATATGCATTCATTTGAAGTATCTTATTAAATGGGATTAGTAAATTTTTGCAAACATTTTGCTCTCTTACATAATCAGTATGTAGATAAAACCCAGTAATTAGAGACCAGGCTACAAAATTAATGCTTTCAGGCCATTTTCATATATAGAAAGTGATCATTGTCATTACAAATATTTTAGTGTTGTTTTTCTCATTTACAAAAGCGATCCTTGTTAAAATAATTCCAAAAAATAAAGGTAGAAATAATTCATATGCTTTCCTCCATTTTTCTCCTTTTAAACATGATTATAATTTTAGTCAAACTACAGCATTATGTCCTGATATCTTAAGTTTAAATTTTAAAGCATACTTTTCCCATAATGCTAAATAATTTTGAAAAACAATTCTTTAGAAGGTTAATATTTAGTTGACTGGATGTACATAGTTAACCATTATGGTTCAATGTTTAATTTAGTGACAATGTGTTGTAATTATAGATGTCACTGTGCAGAAAGCTTATTTATACTATTTTGGATTATTTTTTCAGTTTTGATTAACAGATCTGGAATTCCTGCGTCAAAAGTAAAATATTTCTAAGCCCTTGTATATATATATTTCCAGATTACTTTCAATAGGAATATGTGAAAACAGAATTTGTAAGAATTTTCTCTACTTTTATATATTTCATTAAAGATAATATTAATAAAAATAAAAACTGACTTGTCCAAAAATTTATATAGCTAAAATAATTGTTCTTCTGAGTAGAGTGAGCAGTATGCAGTATTAATATCAGTTTATATAATTCCTGAATCAAACAATCATGCAAAACTTCTTTTACCTCAAACCATTAAACTTTTGTTTACTCCACATATTTCTCCCTCTGCCTCTCCCACAACATTCCTTCTGTAGATTTCTAACTTCTGAATTCCCATTTCTGGAACTATAACATCTCATATCCGACAATGCAGGATGCAGTTAAGAGAAGGGTTTTTGTCAAAGACATGGCCATCTTTTTCTCTCAAATATGGGATAAACAGAGTTTTAATCATATTAAGTGGTTCAGATTCATAAACATAAGCAATTGCCCTGTCATCTTGTGTTAAATGAAAAATTATGTATGTTGGTGAATCCACTCACTTTCTCTATTCAGCAGTACAAAGTTTTGCTCATGAGAGCTGATGATTTCACTGGGAACAATTTTGAATGTCATTATTCATTACAAATACTGTAGAAAATAGCATGCCCCCAATTCACAATTCTATCACCTAATCAACCCAATAAAATTTTTCATTACATTTCACTGCTGTATCTGATTAGGACATTGTTTGAAAACAATTAGCTCACCTCATGTGATGAATAGACGGTAAATGAAAGCATGCTATTTTTAAGTGCTACAATATTTCCCTTATTTAGAAGCTATAAAAGTTAAACAGAATTGAATATAAGAAATTTGAGTGAACAGTGTGTAATCAGGTAAAAAGCATGTGTGTCATTAAACTTTTACTGATACCAATGTTTCCACTTTGCAAATAGAAATGTAAAATTAATATTTAACTTTCTTGAGTATAATAAAATCTTCACCAAGTCAAGGAGAGGTGTCTGATGTCTAATGTCCCAAATAAAAATACTCTATCTGCATCCTAGATTTTCAGCCCTCCTATGAGAATGAATGAAATCACTAGTTTTATTGCTGTTTATTCTAAAATTAAAAGTAAAATATGACCTCAATTTAAAGTATATTGCCATATCACCCTTGTCAAAGTCCATTATGGTTTCATGTTCATAATCATTGTTTCTATTCTACCAAGCTAATAGAATAGAGATCATTGGTTTCACAGAAAGAAAGAATTATTACTGTGGAGTAAAAATGATTATTCTTTCCTGCCTTGTTAAGTTAACTTGCCTCTGATCGCATTTCTGCTTGAAGGTGGATGGAAAACCAATTGAAGTACAGAAATCCCCTCGTGAAACCTAGTCAAGTCCCTTGATATTTATTTTGCACTTACTGTATAGTCATCTACCGTATTCTGATTGGCATTGGGATTACTTACCTAGAGTCCAGATAAAA